TTTTTATATATTTTTCAATTTCCCATTTTGCAAGCCAAAAATCGAAAAGAATCTTTCATATACATAATAATGGAATGCAGTTATTATTATCATGCTCTTTATTATAATAATTTTACTTTAATATTGAAAAAATTCATATCTGTCGAACGATGTAACCAAATATTGTCAGATGAAGGTATATGATTAGCATTAATCGTCCGCAAAATATGAAGTGATTAGCACTTACAATTGTCAAGATTTAAGTCAGGATATTCTACTCAGGGATATCATATGTATACAAAACAATAAAAAGAAATAAAATCAACTATGGAAAAATCAACAGTAAAGAAAATAATTATTCTATTAATATATAACTTCATTCTAATCGTCATTTATTTCTATTTGATTATTAATATTTTCATTATGATGTTGGTTATGAACATTCTTTTCTATAACACTCATACATCTTTTATGAACAACATCTTTCTTTAATTGACGTTTAGCTTCTTTAATGACACCAGTGTTCATATCAAAATCGAATTCATCCATTTTATCTGCTCTTTTACATGCTTCTAAATAAATATGATCACAATTTGATTTTAATAGTATAAATTGCATACTTGTACTGTTTAAATTTTGGATGAAAATTGTTTGTTTACACAGACAAGTAGTTTTTTTAAGTTAGATTAGTTTTAATTTAATTAGTATTATAAAGTATTTCGACTACAGATGATATCATAGAGAAAAATTTGTAAAAAAATGATTGTGATTTTCAAAGATTTACATTTTTTTCTCAAAACAAACATGTAATTTAAAAAGCGGGCTCCATCAGGAATTCCAGCTTCTGTCCTCTTTCGAATAAAAAATGAGCTCTCTATCTATTAACTCAAGCGAAGTTTTTTTGGAAACATAAAAGGCCTAACTTCTACTATGAAAACTTAATATGATAAATGAGGGTTTAGATTAGTATTAAATTGTTCGAAAATCTAATTCATCCTCATTGTTTAGTGTTACTTAATAGAACTAAATTAAACAATACAATTAACATGCAATATGAGAAATAAACATAACAAATAGATAGACGATTGTAAACAATAAAACAAATGTTAAAATTTCTTTATAAATTCATAAGTCTCTTTATTTTAATGTTCTAAATGTATAGAAATGATTTGAAATGATGTTCTAAATTCTTTAAATTATTAAAAAACGCGCGTTTCGAATCTACCCAAAGAATGGAATAATATTGATTAATGTAATTAACATTCAAAGAATTTGTATCCATTATTGTAATGTCATTAATTATTTAAATTACTAAGTTACTCTACTAAGTTATGATTGTAAATTTACTATTCAGTTAGATTAATATAAATTGAACTTAAAGAGTTAAAAGGAATTCATAAAATATAAAAAAAATGAATGAAAAAAATTAACTACATGTTTTTTATGAATTTAAATAAATAAATTAAAATTAAAAAATAAATATAAATTTTTTTTTTTGAATAAATTTTAACTATAAATGTTAATTTCATTAATCAACATTATTACATTCACAAACCATTGATGAAGAATCTTTGGGTAGATTCGAAACACGCGTATGGTATTTTTTAAAAATTTAAAGAATTTAGAATATCATTTCAAATCATTTCTATACATTTAGAACATTAAAATAAAGAGACTTATGAATTTATAAAGAAATTTTAATATTTGTTTTATTGTTTACAATCGTCTATCTATTTGTTATATTTATTTCTCATATTGCATGTTAATTACATTGTTTAATTTAGTTCTATTAAGTAACACTAAACAATGAGGATGAATTGGATTTTCGAACAACTTAATACTAATTGCTACTACTATTTACCCGAAGCACCCGAACATCATAAATATTTCGACTCCAAATTTTTATTTTTAATTAACATTTTTATCCTCGATGGGATACACATTCCTTGAAAATTTCATGAAGGTCGGATGAAAACTAATGGCGGTCAGTTTCTGAGGAGACCTGTAACGCATTTTTCATTTATTTTACTTTAGTCAGTACAGATTCATACACATAAATTCAACAAGTCTAAAAAGGACCCTGCCGGATTTAAAAATTTGAAAATATCAAAAAGCTGAATAGCAGGTTCGATAGAGAATTTTATTGCGCATCTAACCATATTTAATTTTTTGGTTTGAAACTATGATCGTTCCTCAAAAAATAATTTTTTAAAAAGTTTGACAATTTACTGACATGAGATGAAAAAAGTTTTTCAACTCAGTAAGGAGGTATAGTGGAGATATTGTTTATACC